ATGAATTAACCTTATTTTAAAGAGGGCAAAAGATCTAAACAGACTCCTTTCTCTCAAAAGGAGAAACCCAAATAGTTCACAAGTATAAAACAAATGCTCAGCATCACGAACCCTCAGGGAAATGCTAGTCAGCACTGCAGTGAGATATCACCCCATTCCAGTGAGAACGGCTACCATCAAGATTCAGAAGATAACAAGTGTTAGGGAGCATGTGGGGGAAAGTGAACACTTACATAGGGCTGCTATGAACTTAAATTAGCACATCTTATGGTAATTGTATTGAGGAATTAAATACAGCACTGCCATATGATCCAGCAATCCCACCACATGATATATAGACAGAGGAAATAAAATCAGTGTGTTGAAGAGGTCTCTACCTCCCCGGGTTGACTGCTGCACTATTCACAAAGCGAGACATTTAGAATCAACTAAATGTTCGTTAATAGATAACTGGATAAAGAAAACATGGTGTTTCCATGTCCTGGTTATTATGAATTAGGCTGCAATAAACATTCTGGTACAAATGTCTTTGTTGTAAAATAATTTTTGATCATCTGGGTATATACCCAGTAGAGGAATACTACTGTGAAATCAATATATAACCACCTACACACTTATACGAATGGCAAAACATAACAATAGTCCAGAAAGTAGAACGGAAGAGGAGAGTGAAGGGAGGGGAAGGGGGACATGGGAGGAGGGAGGGTGTTTGGGGGGATCTCACCTAAAGTGCATGATGCAATAATACATTTCAAAACTATTAAGACATGAGTATAATTGTGATGGATGTGTTACTTGGTTCAATGTATGCATTTCACATTGTCTATCGAAGCAGTATCCTGAACCCCATAAATGCATCAATGTACGAAGTTATGATTTAATAAAAAATAATTTAAAAAAGAAAAGAAAACACAGCATATATACACACTGGAATTATATTTAGTTGTAAAAACAGAATGAAATCCTGTCGTTTGCCACAACATGGATAAACCTGGAGGATGTTATGCTACGTGAAATAAGCCAGTCCAAGAAACACAAATACCTCATGATCTCACTCATTTACGGAATCTAAACAGTTACGTGCACAGAAGTACAGAATAGAACAGTGATTGCTGGAGGATGGGGTTGGGAGAAGACTAGGGGTTAGAAAATGATGAACAGGAGCAAATTACAACAGAGAGTAGCAGTAGGTTGTGGCTCTCTCTTGCACCGTAGGAGGACTAGAATTAACAACAGCGTACTGTACATTTCAGAATAGCTAGAGGAGACATTTTTTAATGTTCTCCTCCCTAAGAAATGATACATGTCTATGGTGATGAGTATGCTAATTATTTCAATCTGATCATTACACGATTTATATATGTTTCTAAGCGACATGCTGGGCCCCATACATATGTACAATTGTTATATGTCAATCATAAGTAAAAAAAAAAAAAAAGAAATCTATTTCTTTTGCAGTTGAGAAAAGGCTCTTCCAAAAGTGAGTGAGCCAAGACAAACCAAACTGTCACCAGTAACTATCAAGTGAGGTTCAAGGCACCTGTCGCGAGAGTTTGTGGAGGTAGAAACGCCACACACAAGATGTCGTCACGGTGCTGCACTCCGCCCTTCCACTCTTCAGACTGGACGAAAAATCCACCGAAGTTCTGGGGTCGAAACACAGTCAGGGCCCTAGTCAGAAGGATACAGAGTTCAGCTGTGGACGGAAAAGGGACATAGATACTGAGCAGCCGTGGTCCACTTAGCAGGTATGACTGGAGAGGTCTTAAAGACCATGCTGCTCAAATTTTTATCCCCACTTGTCATCCACCAGCCTGAGCTTCCCATCCTCAACTTTCCTCTGGGCCTGCTCGTTGAATTTTCTAGTAGATTATGAATATTTAACATCATGGGTTAATTACTCTTTCCCAAACATTAACACCCAACATGTATCCATTTATAGATTAGTTATCCATCACCAAGAATGTACTGCAAAGTCCCCTCCTGGGTTCAGTGGAAGCGCTAAGCATTTTGCGACAATAACATTTGACAGGGAGGGAGCGGATCTATGAAAAATAATGTTTGGTAGTTTAAATAAAATCAGTGAAATTCCTCCCATCAATACTTCTCATGTAGCACACATATTGACATTCTCTGTGGCATTTCCCAGACTAACTTGGCTGACAGTCCGTTCTCTAGGCATCCACAGCATCTGAAAGACCTACTGCTTGGGGCAGCGCCTGTGGTTCTGTGGGTAGGGCACTGGCCCCATATATGGAGGGTGGCGGGTTCAAATCCGGCCTTGGCCAAACTGCAGCAATAAATAGCCAGGCATTGTGGCAAGCACCTGTAGTCCCAGCTACTTGGGAGGCTGAGACAAGAGAATCGCCTAAGCCCAGGAGTTGGAGGTTGCTGTGAGCTGTGACACCACAGCATTCTACCAAGGGCAACATAAAAAAAAAAAAGAAGAAGAAGAAAACACCTATTACTTGTAGAGTACACTTGGAAACTGCTCCCCCAGAGAAATGGGACATAAAACAGACACATTTTGAACAGAAAGAAAGAATAATATTAGAGAGGCCAGTATCTTAAGTCACTGCTGATGAGGCCAGGACAGGATGAGAAAAGAATGAAGTGCTTGGTGCCTGGTGCCTAGAGGAGAAATAATGTATAGTCCAAATTGTGGGGCATCAGTATTGCTTTGTTCCCCTGGATGGTTGGATCTCTGGCCACCAGCCTAGGCAAAGCCCCCACTTCCCTCAGTATCCACCTCTCAAATGAGCATTTGCAGCCTTCAGCTTGGTGTCTCCATCCCCCTCTTTTCTTCATTTCCCTAAAATTGGCCTCTATCCCCATCACTCTAAAAGTCTCACAATGGTCCTACCAGTGCTCACTACTCAGGGCAACAGCCTCCGACCAATTTTACAGCCTCTTGTCTGCCCCCTGCTGGTGCATTCTTCACCCTGCTGTTAGAACAGACATCCTATTGAGGGCTCTGCATTTATTCTGCAAGTTATTTCCTGTTTTCTATGAAGCAGCCCAGTTCGTGGCACTCTAGCATACTGAGCCGTGAGCATAAAATGACCAAAGTGCAGGGTGAAATACACTAAGTGTTAATAAAGGGCTGACCAATGGCCATGACAGCCCAGAGCAAAAATCGCAGAAGGCTGAGCTGAGGGCTGACATTTGAAGTGGACCAGAAAAGAAAGATAAGACTCAGAAAATGAAAGCTTTC